CTACCTCCATTTGAGATGAAATCTCAAGTCCCCACCGAAAGAAAAGTGCTCCGAATTCGACGATACTTTTAGGTTATGTCGGGGACAACGAGGTGAACATTAAACACCAAGGAGGTACCATGAAAATCCAAACTTGGCTTCAAACCAGAACTCAAAAAATGGCCAAAAATGGATTCTAATAAGGGGTAAAGGACTACCTCGCCAAGGCAAACAATAAACACTAAGGCACTACAACTTTTTACTAAAGGGAAGTGGCCGAAAAAAGAAGAAGAAGGGTGGCAGACCCTTGGTTGTCATGGCTGCTTGCCAAGAGAGGGGAAAGAGATGAAAATATCTGACTTTTCATCTTAAGTCACCCTATTTATAGAAAAACCTTAAAAGTGCTCCGAATGGGTCCCGCTGGGTCCAGAAAAGAGGAATTTGAGCAGACACGCTCAAACGACAAAACTCTGTGAACGAAAAAAACATAAATGAGAAAAGATGAACAACGGAAGAAACGGCATCAAAAATCAAATCTCGAGCAGAAAGATATGTCCTAAACAATTTTGGCGACAACCAGGATTAGAAACCCTAAAACTGGGGTAAAAGACCAGAAGACAATTCTATGAGTACATGACTCAACGAAAAGTGAAAATGAATCCCGTACGAGGATCCAAGCTCAAAACGAGGTATCTTTGCAATAATTTTTATTAATTGCACAATGGTCACTACAAAAAGTGATAACTTCAAAACTGGTCCAGAATGAAAATATTTTCCAAAAGATATTTTCTTAAAAACCCCTGAAATAAATATCTTCAAAAGATATTTATGAAAAATACCCCAAGAAAGAAGAATGTTTCTGAAGAACTATGCATCCATGCCCCTATGGACTCCGGGACCAACCAGAGTGCCTTTCTATAAAAGTAAATATACGTATTTCGTGGAAACCACTTAGAATAAAGGTACATGAAGTTAAAAACCAACTCTGAACACAAAAAGTGAGGTTATGCCAACAAAGTGACAAATGAGGAAAAAAAACGAAAAGTGAATAGTATCCAAAAAGTGAAAATATGAAAATGACGTAGTCTTTTAAGGAAGTTGTCAATCTAAAAGAAAGAGTCTCGAAAACCATTCTTAAGCACTCAAAACAACAACAAGTGACGAGAAACCGAACTCAGAAAGGAAAAGATAACGGAAAAAAAAAAAAATATCCAAAAAAATCTAAGAGAAAGAAAAGGAAAGGAAATGACCGGGTATTTACATTTATAGAGGTTTTTTTATTTTATTTTTATTTTTTTATTTATATATATATATATATATATATATAACTCTTTTCATATCGATTAATAAATATTTTTTATATAAATAAAAAAATACTGAAACACTAAAATTCTTTGCACACATTTAATAATAGTATAGATAAAAACTATTTTTATATCAATTAATAAATATTTTTTTATATAAATAAAAAAATACTGAAAACTCATTGGCAGAAGTTCTTAGATTAATAGGATGATGACAAGTGTTATCTCCTGATAATGACATAATCATAACTAGGTCGGGTCGGTTATAATGTAATAATTATTCATAAAAAATAACTATTCTTTTTATATCAATTAATAAATATTTTTATTGTGATTGATTTTATATTATTGTCTAATTAGATTTTATTTTAATAAAAAACTCATAATAAATAAAATAAATGTGATATAGTTTTATAGAGAATAAAATAGCTAATTCGTGTTGAATTTATAGAAACTATTTTACGTTCTTTAAATATATTCTTGTCTAATTAGATTTCATTTTATTAAAAAAAATCTCATAATAAATAAATAAATAGGTCATACAGGTTAGAGTTTTATATAAACTCTTTTAAAAACACTTTTTAAATCAATTAATAAATATTTTTATATTAATAAATCTTGTCTAATAAGATTTTCTTTAAAAAAAACTCATAATAAAAGGTAATTTGTGTTTTAGAAAAATTATTGAATTTTTTATATCAATTAAGAAATATTTTTTATATTAATAATTCTTATCTAATTAGATTTTCTTTTATTAAAAACTCATAATAAATACATAAATAGGTAATTTGTGTTAGAGCTTTATAGAAACTCTTTTAAAAATTATTTTTATATCAATTAATAAATATTTTTTTATATTAATAATTCTTGTCTAATTACATTTTCTTCCTTAAAAAACTCATAATAAATAAATAAATAGGTAATTTGTGTTAGAGTTTTATAAAAACTCTTAAAATATATCCTTGTATAATGTGTTAGAGTTTTATTGAAAATAAAATAGGTAATTTGTGGTTGAGTTTTATATAAACTATTTTATTTTATTTAAATATATCTTTGTCTAATTAGATTTTCTTCTATTAAAAAACTCATAATAATTTGTAATTCGTGGTAGAGTTTTAGGGAAATTATTTTGGTTTTTATATCAAATAATATATATTTTTTATATTAATAATTCTTGTCGAATAATATTTTCTTTTATTAAAAAAACTCATAATAAATAGATAAATAGGTAATTTGTGTTAGAGTTTAATTGAAACTCTTTTAAAAATTCTTTTTATATCAGTTAATAAATAATTTTTTTTATTAATAATTCTTGTCTAATTACATATTTTTTAAATTTTTTTTATAATAAATAGATAAATAGGTAATTTGTGTTAGAATTTTATAGAAATTCTTTAAATATATCATTGTATAATGTGATAGAGTTTTATTGAAGATAAAATAGGTAATTTTTGGTGCAGTTTTAAAGAAATTATTTTCTTTATTTTTAAATATATCCTTGTCTAATTAGATTTTCTTTTATTAGAAAATTCATAATAAATGGTAATTTAAATATTTTTTTATAGGAATAATTTTTGTCTAATTATATTTTTTTCTTAAAAAACTCAAAATAAATAGATAAATAGGTAATTTATTTTAGAGTTTTATATAAACTCTTAAAATATATTTTTGTCTAATATGATATAGCTTTATTGAAAATAAAATAGGTAATTTGTGGTTGAGTTTTATATAAACTATTTTATTTTATTTATATATATCTTTGTCTAATTAGATTTTTTTCTATTATAAAATTCATAATAATTGGTAATTTGTGGTACAATTTTAGAGAAATTATTTTGTTTTTTATATGAAATATTAAATATGTTTTTATTAATAAATATTGTCTAATTAGATTTTTCTTTATTAAAAAACTCATAATAAATAGATAAATAGGTAATTTGTGTTAGAGTATGATTGAAACTCTTTTTATAACAATTAATAAAATTTTTTTATATTTGTAATTCCTGTTTAATTACATTTTTTTTTCTTAAAAAACTCATATTAAATAGATAAATAGGTAATTTGTCTTAGAGTTTTATAGAAATTCTTGAAATATATCATTGTATAGTGTGATAGAGTTTTATTAAAAATAAAATAGATAATTTGTGGTAGAGTTTTAAAGAAATTATTTTACTTTTTTTTTTTAAATATATCATTGTCTAATTTGATTTTTTTAATTAAAAAACTCATAATAAATGGTAATTTAAATATTTTTATATTAATAATTCTTGTCTAATTATAGTTAAATTATTTTATTTTTTATATCAATTAATTAATATTTTTTATATTAATAATTATTGCGTAATTAAATTTTCTTTATTAAAAAACTCATTATAAATAGATAAATAGGTAATTCAAAATCAATTTAAAATTAAGTCCAACCGAAATTCAATAAACATTGAAACCCTACTCAAAATAATATATTAAGAATGAACCAAAAATAAAAAATTGAAAAAATTGAAAAAAAAGTACATATAAAAAATTTTTAGCAACAAATTCAATTTAAAATCAAGTACAACCGAAAATCAAAAAGCATTAAACCCGACTCAAAATAATATATAAAGAATGAACCAAAAATAAAAAATAAAAAACTGGAGAAAAAATTTACAATTCAAAGTAAACCTACAAAGAGTAAAATAAAAATAAAAACTAAAGTAAAAAGAATAATGATACTTTTGAAAAATAAAAAAAGTATAAAAAAATAAATAACAATAATGACTCAAAATAATAATAAATTATGAATGAACCAAAAAAAAAAAAAAAAAAATTAAAAGAAAAAAAAATCACAATCCAAAGTAAACTTAGCAAATCAACTGCTTCTAAACATCAATTAGAAACAGAAAAATAAAAATAAAACAAGAGAAAAAAAAAATACTAATATTGCTTCTAAAAAAAAAAAAAATTAATAATCCAACCTTCTCAATACAACAAATTAAGAATAACAAATTTTGAACCATCCAAATTAAACTTACAAAAAGTAAAATAAAAATAAATGATATTTCTAAAAAAGAAAAAAAATAACAATAATGACTCAAAGTAATAATAAATTAAGAATGAACCAAAAATAATAAAATAAAAAAATGAAGAAAAAAAATCAACCACTTCTAAACATTTATTAGAAACATCAATTAGAAAGAAAAATAAAAATAAAACAAATCAACTACTTCTAAACATCGATTAGAAAGAAAAAAAAATAGTAAAACAAAAGTAAAATAACATAATAATAATGCTTATAAAAAGAAAAAGTAAAGAAAAAAACTTACAAGACCAATTATAAAGAGAAAAGAAAAAATATGCACACCATAAGTTTGATCTAATATATATATATATATATATATATATGTGATAGAGTTTTATAGAAAATAAAATAGGTAATTTGTAGTAGAGTTTTATCGAAAATAAAATGATTAATTTGTGATAGAGTTTCATAGAAATTATTTTATTTTCTTTAAATATATCTTTGTCTAATAGAAAATCTTTTTATCAATTAATAAATATTTTTTTATATTAATAAATAAATACTGTTATTTAATAAAAACTTTTTTTATTAATTAATTAATTAATATTTTTTTATATTAATAAATAAATATTAAAATAGTGAAACACTTTGTACGCTTAATAATAGTATACATATAAATTTTTACAATATTTTTTACCAGGTTAAAATACTCTGACATACCTCTCTTTGCCACGCGCAGGCTCGAACCAGCATTCCTGGGCTACAGTGTCACTCTCTCAATTGTTCTCGCTTTCCTCTCAATCAGATCCGATCTAAAGAACGGAGGTATTGAAACCCCAACCCTAAATAAAAAAATTCTTTATCTAATCACTCGCATCTCACCGATCAGTTGATTTTTCACTTTAATCATTCTTCGACCTGTTGCTGAATTCACACGTTTCAACACATTTTTCATTGTTTAAGGGAAAATTAGCCTTAAATTAAAAAATTGGCTAGCGTTAAGTTGATAATCCATTTCAGGGATCTATGTGTGTAGATGTACTTTACTTGACTCTTACTATTACTTTATTACTTAGATTTCTCTGATTTTGATGCAATCTAGATGTTCGTTGTACATAATTGAATTGTCTGTGCTGTATGATTCCAAATCCGGTAGCTCATCATCTGTTTTTTAATTTTTAATTTTTAAATTTTAGGTTGGTAAGTTACACATAGACCCACTTGTCTCACTCGGACTCAAACCCTCAATCTTCCAAGGAGAAGATACCATGCATTTAGACTAAGCTCATTGTCTATATATTGGTAATAATTTTATAGTGTTTTTCATCATAGCCGGTTAAATAAAGCGGGCAGGCTAACGATTATGGTTTTTATGCGTGTCACCACCCAAACTATAGCTGAATATAAAATACGAAAATATAAGAAACACATTCTTTCTGCAATCACATTTGGGTGATGAAAATAAGTTCTGTTATGTATGCGTATTACTGGAACCAATTATTGCCGCTGGGAATTGCTTCACTTCACTGTGATTTTGGGTGGCTACCGTGGCTTGTGTTAACAAAACAGTCTTAATGTGGATTAATGTTATTACGATTGAGCCTATGAAAGCTATTTTCTTATGCACTCCTGCTCCCTTCCCTCCAATAAAAGTAACATTTTTTTATTTTTATTTTTATTTTTAAAAATAGCTTATTTATGTTTGATAGACAATGATATGATATTGCTCTTCTTATAGCATTGCTTGCAATTTTTATTCAATATTTTGATTAATTTTGTTTTTGGTTGTTATTGTGTTAGTTGTAAGAACACTTATAGGCATGCATTTTACTGGTTCACCACTCACCATGGACAAGGCTCATCCAGGTGCTTGTCCGGGCAAAGTCATTTTGGTTATCCCAAGATTTTTTTTTTTCAGATCACGGGGGATAATTAGTTTTTATGTGATCGTGGGTAGTTCATGTAAGCTGTTTTTACACACCATGGTTAAGGAGGTCTGATATTAGATCTCTAAGATTATTATTATTATTATTATTATTATTATTTTTTATTTCTGATAGAATGCCACTACATGGGAGGTTGTTTATATGAGAGATAAGTCTATTTGTTGGAGGGGTATTCACTGTTGTTGAAATGTTGGAATTGGATTATATTCAATATTTGCAAACAGTACATTGTAGTCACCGCCCTCCAATAACTTTATCACCCTTTTAAGAAAACTTAAGTTTGGAACTGTCCCTAAAATGTTTTGAAATGGAAAAAAAAAGAAGTTGTTGCAAGAAGAAAAAAGTCAAAGTAATCAAAGAGTATCAAGTTATATATTTGCTAGAAGTCTAGGAGTCAAGGTGCCATCACAGAGCTGTATGACAGATATACCTTTGATTTTATATCTAATATTTTCCTACCAAGTTTTCAGAATGTCTTAACTTGTTCTAGCAAGGAAGGCGCTATGCTATTTTTATAATTTTGAAGTCTATCCAAGTGAAATCTGAAGGCATCTCTATGGACTTCTTTGTATTACAGATCATGCTTCTTCATGTTTATCTGGCACACAAACACCACATTTGATGGCATCTAGATGGACTTCTTCCAGCATAATAGCTCTCCCTAATTCATTTTTTCATGTCCTTTTGATGCTCACTTGGCTGCATATTTTTCTTTGAGTTGTGGGCAGTTTGGAGTTTGGACATAGGAGTTTGTTGTCTGCGAAGAAGTTGGAGATGGGTCGTGGAGTCTGCAGTGGTGGGGGACAGAGTTCGCTAGGTTACTTGTTGGGAGTGGAGAGGCTCCAAAACTGGCCCCAAGTAATACCCAAGCTGCTCCAAAGGAAGAGCAGCCTACTGCCATTTCTCAACCATTGACGCTAACAAGCAGATTCCTGCAGGCATAAATAATAACCCCAAAAACTACTACTACCGGGCAGATGGCCAGAACAATGGTAATTTCATCACGGTTTGTTCCAAATAGTGATTACTTATATATATATATATATATATATTTTTTTTTTTTTTTAACATAAAACAAAAGTTCCCATCTTTCTAATGCCAATCAAGTAAGGGTTTAGTCATTCCTGTGTATAGCGTTTCAATTTGGTTCCCTAATCCTTTTACAAGTCTAGTATGTGAATTAGAATATTTTGTCTTGCAACTTCAGATATGTGCTTATTTCTCTCGTAACTTTTATGTAATTTATTTGTCTTAATTCTTTTTCTTCTTGATTTGAAGTCATGAGTTCCATTTCTTTATTGGGAATAATTAGAAAATGTATGATTGGGTAACCAATATGAACCTAGCATTTCTTTCTGAACCATTATGCATGACGTCATTCCAGAGTGGTGAACTAATTTGAATACATTGGGAATGTTGAACGGCCAAAAAGGGGATTTTATTTGTTAAAAAGCTTCAAGGTCTGCTTAGCTTGAAATGTAATTTTCTGTAGAAGCCGGAATTGTTGTTTAGTATGTCTAGTTTATCAGAGGTAGATTATTCCTTGTTCACATTTGGTGGGAAAATAACCAAATATTTTAAACATTTTTCCCCACTCTTAGCCATGGTATATTTCTATGATTTAACTTGCCTTACAACCACACCTGAACATCGTAAGATCTCTCAATCATTTATAGTTGCCCCGTCTTCTTTATTATAACCTTTTCGCCATACCTTTTCTTTTATTAAGAATTGATTCCGTGAATAAATAACTTGTGTGACATGAAACGTATTATGAACAGGATATACCATATAGCTGATACTAGCATGACGGATAAGAAATTACCAACAGTAGAATTGATGCGAAGAATGTGTTTTGATGCAAGTTCAGAAATTATTCTTGTCTGGTGCATCTTATGATCAAAATCTGTGTCCGGTTTTTGCAAGTACTCCGAGTGTTGTTTTCACCAAAACCGAAGGAAAAATATTTAACCATGATTGATGTTTTTCTGTGGTTGCAGGATTGGCCCTCAACTAAGGTCCATGCTGTTCCTGGGGGTGGATCTTTTCTGGGCTACCTCTTGTGTGTTCTTGTTTGAAAGAGGTATGCTTTTATGAACAACAGTTGGAGTGGTTGTTGGTGGGGTTATTCTGCTGAATATTTAATGTTAGATGCATAAACATTAAATAGCTGCTACAAATCTCAGTGACATAAAAGCAGTAACAGCTAAAAAGAGTTACATTCCATGATGAATATTTTTTTCTCAATTGTTAATTTTTTGATCAGGAGATTGTTTCCTATTATTATCTTTCCATTTTTCCCTTTCTATTCCACGGGCATGGTTGTTGACTGTTAATGTTTTCAGTGTACTTTTTTGGCTTAAAGAGTGTGGTCAGCTTAAAAGATCAGTAAAGCACTGGATCAGTGTGATTGTTTGGGAATTGTGTTTGGCTGCGGATTATGTGATAGGTTGATGCTGAGGACAAAATATGTCTAAAGAGTGATAAAACAGGGTATTCTTATTTTGTGTTTAGTTTAAAAATGACCAAGGATAGAAAAAGAATGGAAGGGATTTGTTGATGCTTAAAATAGTAAACTTGAATAAAATTCCAAAATTGGGAGGATTTAGAAGGAAATGATTATCCATTTTTTCCTTATAGACAGGGTTAGGGTTTTGGTGAGCGAGAAGGGCACGACGGGTTGCTGATTTGGTGTGAGAAAAAAATGGAGAAGAGGTGCGATGGAATGTTTGACTTCAAAACTTGCAGCCAATTCAAACGAGTTTCTGAAATCCATACCTCCAAACTTCTTCCGTGGTTCCAATTCAAGGGCATTGTGAGTTAAAACTTCACATACTCGGTTTTTGGAATAGAGACATGGCATTTGTGCCTTGCTGTTATGAAGCTGGAAATGGAAGTTTCAACAGATTCCCTAGGAAGTTCACTCAGCATGGATAAATTGGCCATTGATAATTGTGGTTCTGACTGATAAAATTGAGAGTGAAACATTTGTTCCAACTACTGCCAAGATGCCAAGTAAATACATATCCAGGTAACGAATGTGGAAATAATCTCATTTTTAGCCATGGGTTGGCACTAGTCTCCCTGCATTGTACCATTAATGGCTGATATTTTGACCGTGGACCGATTTCTCCTCTAAATGTTGTAAACTCTGGGACTTTGTAAAAACCCTCAGATACTCAACTACATCAATATAATCAGGATTTGACTTCTTATACATAGGTTGGCCCACTCTCCTATTGGTTAGGCCACATTCTTGCTGGAAAAATTCTGCATTTTGGCCACGATCAAGAATAACTGGTTGGGTTGGTGGCCGAGGGTTGTTATCTAGCCAAACTTGGGGAAGATTGGCCATCCCTTGTCCCTCGAGCACCACATGGTGTTGGTTTGGGATAAATGAAGTATTTGGGTTCCTCCATCTTCCAAGGTTAGCCCCGAAATTAGGAGATTCTCCCGGGGGAAGAAACCGTGGAACCATAGGGCGTGGGTTTTTGGATAAAGTGTTTGGGTGCCTCCATCTTACATGGTTGCCCCCCGAAATCAGGATATACCATAGGGCGTGGGTTTTTGGATAAAGTGTTTGGGCTCCTCCATCTTACATGGTTGCCCCCGAAATCAGGATATTCTCTTGGAGGAAGAACTGTTGGGCCATTGGTGCTCTCAGCTGTGGGAGAGTTGGCTGAGACATTCTGTGGAATAGGTGGTGGAATAAATTAATTTTTAATTTTTTTTTTTTTTTTTTTTTAATAAACGAATAGGTGGTGGAATAAAAAGCTGATTTACTGGAGTCCTATTTGGAAATATATTAAGTTGAGGAAGATTATCATGCCAAATCTGGATTTGAGACGGTGGAATTACTGTGGGTGAAGTATTTTGTTACGTGTGGAAAAGTGGACCCACAAGAGTTTAATAATATCGCAGATGGTGGAGGACCATCTAATTAATTTTCAATTCATGTTCCACCTTTTTTAAAACACTTACTACTCATTCTTGACTTCTTCAAGGTTGTTGTTACGAGTATGTTGTCTATGAGAACTTCCTTCTAATAGGTGATGGGGCCAAAAATAATATAATATTAAAAAAGATGAAAAATGGATCAAAATTTTTTTTAATGAGTTAATCTGACCAAGATGTACAAGAGTAATAGCGTTTAATTGCTCCCTGGTGAGCAAGGAGTAATATACTGTACTCATGTTTAATTGTAGCCTTTAGATTTAATCTTATAACAATTAATTTATAAGTCTTTGTATTCAGTATTTTAAGAAACCTACTAATTCTTTTCATTACCATTAAATATTATTAAGATAAAATGACAAAACTAGACCCTTCGTTAAAGGAAACAAAAATGAAAAAATTTGACTACTCCTTTCCGTCTCTCCTACTGTGTATGTACATATGCATATATTATGATAAACTTCTTTTTTATTTTTTATTTATTTTTTAATAATCCTTACAAAATTTGCTCTTTGAATTTTTTTTAATTTTATGTATTTATTTTTTAAAAGGACTTTTATGGTGGAGTAATTAATTAAGAAGTTTTGTGGATCAATTTCAGTTTCTGAAAATTCAATGATCCTGATTCCTGCATCACCCTTCATAAATATTTAGTAAATCCCATAAATAAAGTAAGGGATGGGTTTTCATGGTAAAAACAACTTAAAAATTTATCTTTCTTTTTATCCTACAAATCGAATTAAATTGTCAGTTTTTCCATTCTCTTCCATCCAATTGAACAAAAAGAGGGAAACTTTTAATCTCTTCCCTAGGGATGTCTCAGTCATCCTTTATTCTCTCCATTTCGTTCAATTTTTTTCGTTTCTAACGAACGGATTATTAACTTTAAAAGGTGAGTAAGTACCACTAGACTACATTTTTTAGGGGTATTAATCTTGACTTTACTTCATGTCTTTTGGACTGTGGAAAGAAACTCACACATCCGCTATAGGGACTTGAGTCGTCAATAAGGTGAAAAAGTACCACTAGATTACAATTTTTGGTCCTTTTAGATTACTTTTCATGGCTTTGCTTTTTGAAAATTTCTACTTCTGGACTTACAGAAATAGCTAGGTTAGTCTAATCAATTGTTAAATTTACAATAGCTCTTTAGGGACAACCATTTGGCTTTTTTGTAATGATAAAATAGGATTTGAAATGTAAGATGCTTGTACCACTATTGTAACATTTAATCTTGGGTCAAAACAATAGTTAACCACTGAGTACCAATGTCCAAACTCTTATGTATGCACATTGAGGACAATGTTGAATAAACATGCTGACAATATATTGATACAAAGTGCATATGGATACTGAGTAGGAAAAAGAAAACACACTAAAAGGTACAAAAGAAACAAAATATGTTGAGCAAACATTTTATTTTATTTAGTAGTATATTGATAGTACTCTAACTAACTAGTCTACCTTTGTCCTAGTGGCTTTGGATCTTAACCCTAAGTCCTAGGACAAAGTTTCAAGATTGGTAGAGGAGAAGAAAGAAAATATACTACTAAGTAACTATCCTTCCACACCGTGTAACTGGGGCTGGATGATTCTAGGAAGCTGTTGTTAGGGTTGACAACAGCTGGGAGACATTGTGCATGGTCGGCCTAGATTGTGGATTGGCATTTAAACATGCAATGGCTAGCTTTATAATTGATATTAACACCTCTTCACCTTCGGTTGAGGGAGCTGAGAGGCGTTGGTCCAACACATCTTTCAGCATTATGTTCTGATCAATAGATGAAGACGATAGCGAGGTGATGAAATTTCCTGGATGCTTTCCTTTGATCACTTCAAGTGTCAATACCCCAAAGCTATACACATCGCACTTTTCAGTTACCTTCATTGTGAGAGCAAGCTCTGCAAAGAAAAAGTAAAATATGACCTTGTATAATTGACCTACATTACTATATATACCAAATTAGTTAGAACACACAAAGCTACATTTACCTGGTGCAACATATCCATAAGTGCCTGCAAGTGTGCTCCAATTTGAGGAGTCTAGCTTCAAAAGCTTAGCAGTGCCAAAATCTGAAACATGTGCCTCATACTCGATGTCCAACAAAATATTGTTGCTTGATAGGTCCCTATGAACAATTGGTGGTGAGCAATCATGGTGCATGTAAGACACAGCATGAGCCACCCCCTTAATGATATTCACCCTTTTGGGCCAATCCAATTTTTCAGCCTCTGCATCTCTATTCAATATTGAGGCCAAGCTACCCTTTTCAAAGTACTCATAAACCAAAAATGAGTGTTGAGCATGTGAACAGAAACCATAAAGCTTCACAATGTTCCTATGTCGTACTTCTGTTAATGCCCTCACCTCGTTCAAAAACCCTTTATGATCTGCTGTCTCAGATAATGGGTGAAGTTTCTTCACAGCCACTATATTGTCTGGTCGTAATTTTGCTTTGTAGACAGTTCCACATCCTCCCTTTCCAATGCAATACGAGGCATCAAAATCGTTGGTGGCTTTTAAGATTTCATCATACATTGCTCGACCATCAAAATTGGAAATTAAAAACAGATTGTTTTCATCCTGCAAGTCGCCTTGTTCGATTGGTGCTTTTCTTTTTCTTCTTTCAAACAGGATTAGGAGTCCAATGAATGCACTTAGAAGTATAAGTGCTCCCACAAAAGGTAATACAATTATAAGAACTCGAATGAATTTGTGGCTTTCCTTCACAATGTGTTGGCCATTTTTGCAAGGGTTCAATCCTGTAACATTGCCACACAAACCGTTGTTCCCTTGTAATGCCTCTATGGTAGCATTTCTAAAGGCATTGTTGCTGGGAATGGGACCTCGAAACCCATTGTAGGATATGTCAACATACATCAACCCATGCATTTCTTCAAAAGCCTCTGGCAGGAAACCAGAGAGGTTATTGTGGGAGAGATTTAGCACCTCCAAACTCCGCAAATTTTCAATTTGCGATGATATTTCTCCCATGAGCAAATTCTGACTCAAATCTAGTGTGGACAGATGAGCTAACTTATACATCTCAGGTGGAATTTTTTGGCTAAAACGGTTGTAGCTCAAGTTCAAGTAATGCAACTGCAAGCATTTTCCTAGACTTCCTGGTATTGACCCACTCAATCTATTTATGGACAGGTCAAGATACGACAGGTGAGCTAGTGATCCCAGTTCTCTAGGTATACCACCAGAAAGTTGATTATCTTTCAAATCAAGGATTATTAAATCCAACTTCCCTAGTTCATTTGGAATATCCCCAACTAATTGATTCGAAGAAAGATCAATTAGATGAAGTTGAGATAAATTTCCCAACTCTGGTGGTATTCGTCCAGTGATATTGTTCCTTGCCATCCTTAGGTAAGTTAATTGTGGGTACTGACCCCAACTAAAAGAGATTTCACCAAAAAAACTGTTGTTACTAAAATCTAGGAAATGAAGATTTGGATAGACACCAAAAACTTTTGACACATCTCCAGTGAGCTGATTTCCATCAAGGCGCATTCTGAATAAGCTGGAACAGTTTCTCAAGCTTTTGGGGATTGGACCGGTAAGCTGGTTATTGTTTACCGTGAAATTTTCCAGTTTTCTGCTTTGGCAAATATTTTCAGGCAAATAGCCAGAAAAGTGATTCTCATCCATTTCCAGTACGACCAACTTTTCTAGATTCCCAATTTCTTGTGGAATGGGACCGGAGAGTTGGTTGTCACGGAGGAACAAGAACTCCAAGTTGCTCAAATTTCCAAATGAAGCAGGAATTGAACCATTGAATCGATTCACACTCAGCTCTAGATCTTGGAGAGACTTTAACTTACCCAATTCTTTAGGAATGGGACCGGAGAGTTGATTTTCGAAGAGAAGCAGTTCAGTCAGGGAGCTTAAATCACCTAAGGATGGTGGGACTGAGCCGGAAAGATTGTTTCCGTAAAGGATCAGACTCTCAAGCGATTTCAGGTTTCCTATTTCTGGGGGAATGGGATGAGTGAGCTGATTTTCGAATAGGTACAACGAAGTTAGCTTATTCAAGTTCTCGAAAGTGGAAGGAATGGGACCTGTGAGAAGGTTGGTATCTATGTCAAGCTCGACTAGATTGAAGAGATTTCCCATTTCTGAAGGAATAGAACCAGAGAGTTTGTTTTCATAGAGATACAAATTAGCCAAGTTGCTCAAACTGCCCAAAGAAGTGGGAATGGGACCCTCAAGATTGTTTGTGTACAAAGCAAGCTCATAAAGGGACTTTAGATTGCCTATTTCTTTAGGAATTGAGCCATTTAACTGATTCTGGAACAGGTGGAGGACCTGAAGATTTGTCAGATTTCTGATTTGTGGTGGGATTATTCCGGAAAAATGATTGATGGCCAAATCAAAATAGACGAGTTTTGAGAGTTTACCAACTTGAGGTGGGATGGTACCAGAAAGAACATTCATGCTGAGATCAATATATGCAAGATGAGGGAGAGACGAAAATGGAAAATCATAGAGCGTACCTTCAACACTTGAATTTGTGAGGTTTAGTCTCCTGACACTTCCATGAATACTGCAAGAAACTCCAGACCAAGTGCATGGGATGACACTTGTTTTTGGATGGCTTGAAGAAACTGTGGCATTATAATTAGATGGAAAAATCCATGAATTTAGCACAGAATTGTTTTGGTGTTGTAAGCTGGCTTTCCATTTGAGGAGAGCTTTAGCTTCTTGAACAAAAGCAGAAGCTGAATTGGGTGAAGATAACAACATAACAAACATGACCAAGGAAACAAAAGAAAGGATCTTCTCTAATGTTGAAGACCCCATGGTTTATGTTGGATGTGTAGCAATGCTGGTTTAAAGCTCTTATTTATATACGTTTCATTCTACAGGTCCCATATTATGTTGGCTATATTTACTACAATACCATTAAAATGTATTAAAATGTTAATGGTCTTTTTTTCTTCCTTCTTGCCTTACAATTAATCTAATTAAAGCCACAGCATTGGGCTTTGATTTGATGCTATATGATGAAACTAACTTTACAAAAGCAGCATTGTTTTCTTCAGAGTAAAATTAGGGTTTTGCTGAAGGCAATTAGAAAGTTGTGTGAACTTGGGTCTCCGGTCTAAAACACAATGGCGTGTAGATAGGGGCATTGAACTTGGTCAGTCTTGATGATGCTATGAACCCCACCATATTCCACCATATAACAAGTTTTAATGCCATAACCCACTAAATTTATTCAACTTGCATTGTTTTTTTTTGGTCTTAAAGCAAGAAGGAAGAGACGAAGACCACTTACTCTAAAAGGGACGAAGACCAAGTCCTGGGCATCTCTAGACTCGTTTTTCACTCCCGAATTATAATGGACCACCAAGTTGACTTCAAGTCAATGTTAGGTATTTATAGCCAAAATATATAAGTATGGGACGTCTAATCACACATCACTAACCATACTATGAAAACTTCAAAAGCTGAATGGTTAAAAGAAAATTAAAAAATTAAAAAAAAATAGAAAAGAAAAAAACGAAGGAGGGAAGAAACAAATGACAAGTATAGAAAAGGGTGAAATATTGTGGGGTTCATAGCATCATCTAGGCTGACCTAGTTCAATGCCACTATCTACACGTCATAGTGTTTTAGACCGGAGACCCAAGTTCACACAACTTTCTAATTGCCTTCAGCAAAACCCCAAGTTTACTCTGAAGAAAACACTCTGTTTTTAATATATACTGATATCTATCGTTATTAGTTAAATTATATTGATTTTTTTGTCAGAGTTATCGGGGAATGACATTAACAATTATTGTGTAATCATGTTTCTGTTCTTATATATTGTATTATACTATATTATATTTTATTACAAATAAATATGTTTTTGAAGGATAAAATTAAAATTTAAAAGTTACAAAATTGGTGTCATCGGCACTTTTTTTCGTTGACCGTTAACAAAGAGAAAGTATTTGTTATTATTCACGTATAAATCGAAATCTCAAGAATGGTAAGACTGTGTTTGGCTTTGGAGTGTTGAAATTGAATTGGTGGAATTAGAAAAAAATTCAATTTTTTCTCTTTATTTATTTATTTATTAAATTCTATAAATTTCAATTCTAAAACTGCAATTTCACGCATGCCAAACATAATTTATCTTTTTTCTAATTTGTTATTTTAACGCCCATGTACACGTGTTTTTGAGTGTGAACTCGGGTATTTTATTTTATTTTATTTTTTTTTGTCCCCTGAAAGTTGGTGTGAACTCAGGCAATTAGAAAGGTGTGTGAACTTGGGGCTCGTAGGCCTTTCAAAATTCGGGGATCTTTTTGACTTATTTTTGGTCTTTCTTTATTGCTAAATTTGCATTGGTGTGATGGTCACTTTCTAGTTTCTACGCCAAAGTCTTTCTAAGTGATCGCCTCCTTGCATATATAGAAGTCATACATTGGTTATATATATATATATGTATCATCTTGTAGCACACTACTATAACTTTCTTTGTTCAGTCATACACACACCAAGAAAATATATATATATATATATATATATATATATATATATATATATATATATATATAGAATGAGAAGCAAAACATCTTCTACCTATTCTTGTCTCACCATATGTTTATTCATGATTTGGCTCATCATGGTTTCACCTGTACTCTCTGTGCGGAAATTATCCACCACTCCCAGCGGCTGTAAGTACTCTCTCTTCTCTCGTGCTCTCTCTCTCACACACATTCTATTGGAATAATTAATTTTCTTCAACTCGGTCCATTGTTGTCGAGAGTCCTCATTCATCACACACAGCATCATATTAATACAACCATATATGGAGATGGCAATCACATACATTTACATACAACACAATATATATATATATATATATATATAGAATGAGAAGCAAAACATCTTCTACCTATTCTTGTCTCACCATATGTTTATTCATGATTTGGCTCATCATGGTTTCACCTGTACTCTCTGTGCGGAAATTATCCACCACTCCCAGCGGCTGTAAGTACTCTCTCTTCTCTCGTGCTCTCTCTCTCACACACATTCTATTGGAATAATTAATTTTCTTCAACTCGGTCCATTGTTGTCGAGAGTCCTCATTCATCACACACAGCATCATATTAATACAACCATATATGGAGATGGCAATCACATACATTTACATACAACACAATATATATATATATATATATATAGAATGAGAAGCAAAACATCTTCTACCTATTCTTGTCTCACCATATGTTTATTCATGATTTGGCTCATCATGGTTTCACCTGTACTCTCTGTGCGGAAATTATCCACCACTCCCAGCGGCTGTAAGTACTCTCTCTTCTCTCGTGCTCTCTCTCTCACACACATTCTATTGGAATAATTAATTTTCTTCAACTCGGTCCATTGTTGTCGAGGGTCCTCATTCATCACACACAGCATCATATTAATACAACCATATATGGAGATGGCAATCACATACATTTACATACAACACAATATTTTACACGGTTCATCAAACTCTAAGGTTATGTTTATGGAAGAGAGAGATTTCACTATTATGAATCAAGAAAGAAAATATACAACCACATGTCAAAACCCTATTCACTCACTCATCATCTCTTATGAGGTTTCATGTATATACTCAGAAATTACATATACTCACTTCTCTCCTTACAATACTCACCCTTAAACCTTTTTACATCTTTTCCTCTCTCAACCCCTCACACGTATATTTATTTATAGAGTTTTCAAAACTCAATTTTTTGTTGGACAAGTATTCCCAGACTGACACAGAAGGAGATACCATATCAATTTCAACTCTAAAATAAAAATGTAACGGAATACAATTTCCTTCACAAATTTCAGCATTCCAAGACGAAAAAAGAAATTAATTTCTGGACACAATTTTGAGCAAACCCAACACATTCATATTCATTCATTTTGTTCATTGTATGAGTTTTGCAGATGGAGATAGTCATATGGAAGCAGGCCGCAACAAGCATTACCATGCCGGATCTGCTATACCATCGGGACCAAAAGCACCTACAAAAGGTACTGGTACTACTGTTACCGGCCCCAACCGCGTGGGGGCAATGTCCTGTGGTCGAGGTAGATATGGGCCTTGCCTACCAAGAGGAAACGTCGTTAGAAGCTGTCCGCCGTTTGAAAAGTGCAGGGGAAAGTGAAACAAGCAAAGCAACTGGTTCAAATATATGTGGTTGAGATATATATATATATATATATATATATATATATATATATATATATATTAGTGATTCTTTGTAATATTTTACATCCTAATAAAAAGTTACTCCTTATGTGTTGCTTCATCTGTCCCAAATTAATTTTTTTATTTCTTTTTCAGATTCTAATTTTTGAAGGAGGGAAAAGGGAATTATAATTCATATCTCTTTTTGAATTTCAATATCTTATCCCCAGAGTATAAATATTTACATTATAAGTTCCAACACTAATTTTGGAAAGTAACAATTTTTTCACATTGAATATTTTCAAGGGTTATTTTGTGATAAGGGGGTGATATAAGCCGTTTCAAACTCTTCTACTTTTTCGTGTTCATCTGATTGTTTAGATATTTATTATTATTATTTCAAAAGTTAAAGCAAACCCACATGTATCTTTGTCCCCCACCAGGGCGGGAAAAGTCAACTCTCTAAAGGGGCTATACCATCCCATTGGTGATGATATAGCTATTTGTAGCTACATAATTAAAATGGCATCTGGTCGGATTAACTCTCATTTTTTCTTCTTAATTTAGTGTTTGCACCCAAATTTGGCTTGCATATTTGGCATCAATGGTTCTCATAAAATGATATAGCCAACTTGGATTGTAGAGTGAATAACGATTCCAATGTCGATGGGAATAACTGAAACCAAAGGTCAACTATTTCCCCGCCCTTGGAAGCAAAGAGATGAGAATGAGTCCCCCCCATCGTTTGAAAGAGGATATATATATATATATATATATAGATTACTACTACGTAGTTGTGAATTTTTGCAAAATGTTATTTTGAGTTGTACAAAGTGGACTCATCCAAATATTGGAAAAACTTTGAAAATTGTCACACAGTCTAAAGTGAAAAGATCCACTATAGATGAAACAAAATACAATGAACTTCGATTTAGAATTACACCTCTTTCATTCTATCAAAAATCTATCACTAACTATCTTCGGCTTTATAACTCTTCTGTTCAACAACACTTCATTTCAGACTTACTATTGATCTCTGTAGAAGGATCCTTGGTACATCAACCAACATGAATGTCTTGATCCCTTCAAAATTTGATCTTCTCCTCCTTTTCTTCGGAATAGAATTTCTGAAGTAGATAGATGAATTGCTTTTGATGACTGGTAACAATAAGATCTTCAATCATTCAAGCACGAATCAAATGTTAAACAAACTAAATCACTCAAATGTATAGGTGTGTGCTCTCTCAAAACACGAAAAAATAGAAAGCTCTGCAAACTCACACAAATGGCTGTCTATGCTTTTTGAAATCTTCAATGAAAAATTCCTAAGGAATTATTTGGAATAAGAGTTTATATATAAGATTAGAAAGACAGGGCTAGAAAATATGATGTAAGACAGTTTTACATTATTTTTTTTTTTTTATAATTTTTTTTAGGGATTTTAATTTTAAGTATTTTTTTTCTTATATTTTTAGTTTCCTTATTATATTAGGTTAATTTCCTTGTGTTTTTAGTTTTCTAAAGTTTTTAGGTTTCTTGGTAATCAAGTTATTTATTTATTATAAAAACTTGTATCGCGAAAGCAGAAAAACAATTCAATTCAATCATTTTATCAATAAAAT